GTGCTGTAAGAGTTTGGGGGCCACCGCTTGGGCTGTGTTTGAGTAAGAGGGAGTTACTTGTAAAAATCGTAGGATTGCATAAGTTTGGCAACCTACTGTACACTTCTTGGGGTGCCTGCCTTTCAGTTCCTACGAAACGATTATGATCGCAAAGTTTTTCTCCAGGCTAGACAATGGGAAAAGTGTGCTATTCGCGAAAGTTGTTCGCGAGAACAATTATCATTTCTCCACAACTGCCGAAAACAGAGCATTTTTCCAAAGTCCGTGCGTGTGGAGCCTGCAGTCTGATCTACCCTAGGGTATCAGATCGCATCTCGTTGTGGAAAGAGCATGCTTGGAGCATTTATAACGGCTGCCCATTATCGACTGCAAAAGTTTCATTCTGTGAAGGAACAACATGTGCAGGTCTGCCGCAATAATCAGTAGATGAAACAATTACCCACGTATCAGCACTGGAAAGACGAAAGCAGAAGTTTCTTCTAGACAAAAAATGGAAGACTATTTCTCAGTCAGCTGTTACAAACCAACAGTCTGTAGCGAAGGTTGTAAACCTATCTTCCAGAGCCCTCACCGCAACGTAAGAGAACGGGCTTTCCAAAGGGATGAAATACAACCATTCTGATTCTACTTACTTGGACTCCCTAGCCAGCTTGGAGTCTATCCTATTAACAGGAGACCTCAGCGACTATGATCAGTTTACTATCCAAAACAGCGTTGCCCATGCCTTAAAGGATAGGAATCAGTTTTCATCTCTGTCCTGTGAAGAAAAGAAAGCATTTACGAATTTAAAAACTGACGAAAGTATAATCATACTTCCCGCCGACAAGGGAGGCTCAATTGCTATCTTGAACAAACCAGACTACAAGCACAAAATGCTCTCACTATTGAAAGATAGCTCACCCTATAAGCCTCTCCCAACAGACCCTAGCAAGAAGCAAATGTCATCCATTGACAAAGTACTGAGACTCCTTACAGGGACGAAACTAATGTCAGGAGATACCGCAAAGTGCCTGAAAGAATCAGAAGCAAACATCGCAAAGATCTACGGATTATCCAAAGTTCACTAACCGGAAGTTCCTCTGCGACCGATCGTCTTATTAATCTGGGCACCGAACTACAAAATCGCTAAGAAGCTATTCTCACAACTTCATCCACTATCCTATATTTGTCGGTGATCTCATTCGGCTGTTTCCGAAATGCACGGAATATAGTGGTCTGCTCCCTGAACACCATTTGCACTTTATCCGTAATGTTGGATTCCATTGGGCGGGTCAATCGATCCAAATGTGATAAAATGTGCGGCTGACCGTGAGCCTCGCAGCTCAATGGTAGAGCGTTGGCTGCGCAAACGCCTTCCCTGTTCTGTGTATTTGAATCCTACCGAGACCGCGAATTTTTAAGAATTGGTTTAACTGGTTTACTGGACAGCTAGCCCATGGAAAAGTTGGCTGGTGTCCGGTAGACAACCTGGAAGGCTTCATTAGGGTCGATTCCTGTCAACAAGTTATTCAAGAATAGCACTCGAGATCGATGTAGTTTTACCCTTACTTAGCCAGGCCGGTAGGTGTTCACATACCCTCTTTTCCAGGCGCCTCGTTATTTTGCCAATGTATTCTGCTCCACAGGAGCTTCGGTCATCTGACCCTACACCATTAGTTACCCTGTAACGACCTTGCGCCTGGCGTCCACTGCATTTCTGTCTTGCGCAGCATTAACAATTCCTGTCAGCAACAGGCACTCATCTGACTTCGTAAGGCTTTGTGTGTAATGGTATCGTCGCGTCTAACTCCCCCCCCTTGCCCACCTCAGCTACCCCAACGGTCCAATCAACTATGAAGCCGATGCAGGATTGGATAACTGTCAAGGCGAGCATCTGGCGCAGGCTTCGCGCCCAGCTGCTAATCCGCGCTCTCGCAAAATATACCTCCTCCTTCATCTCCTTCCCGTCTTCCTACTTGTCTTCCTCTGCCTCCTCCTCTTCCTTTCCTCCCTCATTCTTCTCCTTATCATCCTCCTTATCCACCCCTCCTGCGCTTTCTCCTCCTCCTGCGCTTCCTCCTCGTCTTCTTTTACCTCCTCTTCCTTCGCCTTCTCTTTTTTCCCTCCTCTTCTTCACCCACCCCTTTTCCATCTCCTCCGAACTCCCCCTGCGTCTTTTACAGACGAAGACTGGTCGAACAATGTAACAATTTGTTTTATTATTCTGAGCCCTGCACAGAGAAGTGATGAGCCGGTTTATCAAACAGTTCAGATTGTCAATCGACGAGTGCAATCAGCATCTACAAAAACAGCAAGGCTACGATTGGGTCGGATTGAAGAGATTGTGTCCACATTCTCGGGGATTCGTTTATCGCAGTGGATTAAATGAGTCAAACCCAGCAACTGCGATCTTCAGACCACGGTTACTTCGCTGAGAAGAAGACGTTGAAGGCCAAAGTAATATGAAGAGTATATTGTGTACACAAAGGAAAGGAGAATAGATGGAAGAAGTCTGACTTGGGAGAACACGTCCGCCAAGGAGATTGACCGTGTCCCAAGTGCCAGTTTGAGAGCAATCAGGCCGTAGACAGAGAGAAAGAGCGTTCACTGGCTAGGTCGGCCTGTGATTGGTTGGACAACATGTGGGTGGTCCATGTCTCGCGGGGGAGTAAGTCTGGCGGCCGCCACGACCTTGAGGTCTAGACAGATTGAGGCCACGACAGGAAG